AAAAGTGAAGATACAACCCTACCCACATACTTTCTCCAAATTGCCTTTTGTAATATTTGGCAGCGATTTAAAATATTATTTTGAAATTGAACTCCAAATAATGATTTCGAAGATAATTTTGAATTAAATATACATTTTTCATTAAAATACCTGATATTGCAACATGTGACACATTCTTGGGCTAAAATATTGTAGCTGATTTTTAATTTAATTGATTACAGATTATGTAATATGGTAGGTATAGAGTAAACCGTATGACATTGCTGTTTTGTAGGCCAAAGGAGGTCTGATATTAGCAATTTCATATAGTTCAACCTAACACTTTATTATCATCAGCTCTGTTATAGGATCAACTGAATCCTTTTTCTCAGTAACATTTATATTAAAAGGGAAGATGGAAACTTTAGAAAGAATAAAAACCATGATGATTTGCTTAATTATAAAATCAGGTTGACAAGAGAGTCCCACATTATTTGTCTTTTTGGAGTCTTACTCTAGGAGAGGGATAAATTAGTGAACACCTTAAATGCTTTCTGGCATTGTGGGAGGAAACTGAACTTGAGTCTCTTTGTGGGTTTCGCACACAGCAGTTGAGCTGAGAAAGGAGGCAGTGAGCATGTGGCAGACGCGCCCAGACACAGACCGTAAGTCGTGAGGCCTCAGCACTAGAAGCGTAATCTTCTTTCATGTCACAAAATAGATGGTAACGTTACTAAGTAGTTCTAATAGATGGTGGAGTAAATAGCCTTAAAAAAAAAATCTCACAAGTGAGAAACATAGTTATTGCTAGTTAATCCACATTTAGATTACCTACAGCAAATGTTAAAAGGAACATCAGATTCTTCATCACCTACCATACCACCCTTACACATTGGGGTGTGTATTGGTCTTAAAAAAAAAAAACAAAAACAAACCCAAACAAACCAAAACCCACAAACCCCAAAATCTTAACCTAGGAAGGTAAATGTATGGGGGGGGCCCTATAGTGTATTGTGTAGTCAGAATATAGCTTATTTGGGGGTTATCTGCTAGTTGTATTAGTTGGAAAATAATCTTTTATTAAGGTGAGCCATTAAATTTTTAAAAAATGCTACTCAGAGCAGCATTGGCATGATCTGGAGGCTTGTGGAGACTCTCAAGCCCTACCTTAGATCTATGGAATCAGAATCTGCAGTGTTTTTTGGTTTAGTTTTAAGAATCTGCAGTTTTAACAAGATACAAAGGCAATTCGTAAGCATGTTAAAGTTTGAGACACACTGTTATAGATCATGAGTGGCATTATTACCCCACAAAACAATGCCGTATAGTGTAACCTCAGTAAGTGCTTGTTGATTTTAATGCATGTAATTGGCTGGATGTAGATTCAGAAAATGAAACTAGTATTTTAGGAGTATAGTTATATAATAGTAATAATCAAGCAGCAGCTATCCATTTCTTTGTAATTCTTTCCTAGCTGTCTGGATATCACAAAATATCCACCTGTCCCTCTAAATGTATCCTTGAGTCTGATTCTGTTCACACTGGATAATTAGTTGCTGTCTTGTGACTGTGTGTGTGTATACACACACAAGTCAACAATAGTACACAAATTAAAGGAGTAATTAGATTTTGATGAGTCAAGGATATATAATCTATATTGTAATGTATGAAATAACTAAAAATAATAAAGTAATTTGCATGCAAGGGGGGTATAAAAAGATTAATCCAGCAGAAGATAAGAAAGGAGCATAAAACAGTTGGAATAAGTAGAAGGGTTACTAGTGTTCATACATGAATTAAACCCATAGGTAACTGTTTATAAGAGGTAAATCTAAAGTATAAGGAAATATAACAGTTGAAAGTGAAAGGATGGACAAAACACATACATGCAAAGATGAAGAGTAGGCTCGGTGTGGTTATTAGTATATATTTGTACAGCAGAGCACTATTGGAAACAGAGGGACAGTTTAAAACGATAAAAGATTTTATCCATCAGGAAGGTATAACAGCTTTAAATTTATGTAATCCAGTAACATAACTTTTTAAATGGGAGATTTTTAATGCATCTCTTGCTAACTGATAGCAAGGATGAGTGCAGAAATAGAAGATAAATATAAAAGAATATACTTAATAAAATTAATAAAGCTTTGATTTATTAATCAAACTGATCACAATCAAAGACTTATCACACAGAAGAAAGAGGTTGTCTTAGCCAGTATTAGGTGAAGGAGCTGTCAATACAAACGCTGAAAAGCTTTCAAGAGAAGATATTGTGAGGAAAGTGATACCAATGCATTTGAAATTTAGGTGAAGTTCATGTACTATTAGAAAAATACAACCTACCAAAACAGACACCGGGAAATATAAAATCTGAATGGTCATATTAAAGAAATAGTACCTTTAATTGAAAAATCTACCCACAAAGAAAACTCCAGGTCCAGATGATTTCACCAGTGAATCTACTACAGAAGGATAGTTATGACCAAATTGAATTCCAGGAATGCACAGTGAATGGTTTACCATTCATAAACCAATCAGTGTAGTTCACCACATTAGCAGAGTAAATCAGAAAAGTCATGTCATTTCAATGGAAGCAGAAAAAGCATTTAATAAAATTCAGCATCCGTTTGAGGAAAAAGTTTTAGCAAACTAGGATTAGAAGGGAATTTCTTTAACCTGTTAGTTCTCAGTTAAATACCTATAGCAACCACGATACTGAAGAGATATTGAAAGCTTTCTTTCTGAGGTTGGGAATAAGACAATAGTACCTGTATCTCCTCTTCTAATCACCACTGTATTGGAGGTCCCAGCAAGGAGAGTAGGGCAAAGGGAAGAGGGAAAAAAAAAACTATTCAGGTCCCCAGTTTTGCTAGTAGTCACTTATTAAACAGTGCAGATAAATCCATCATTGCAGAACATTCTGTTGGACAGCCCTGTTTGAGATAATGCAGATTCAATCAGAACCCCAGCATGAGTTAGTTTATTTTGGTGAGTTTGATGAGCTAATACTAAAACATAGATGGACTCACAAAAGGCTAAGAGTAGGCAAACATTCTTGAAGAAGAACAAAATGCTCTACTAGATACTTAAACTTCTGAAGCTGTTATAATTTAGACAACGTCTGGTTCTTAGGCAAAGTCATAAGAAATCTAGCTAAGTCTGTATCCATCAGATCAAAGAATCCAAAAACAGATCCAGGCATGTATGGGAATATTATTTATGATAAAGATGACATTACAGGACACTGGGGAAGGTTTGTCCTTTTAACGATTGATTTCTAGTTAATTGGATGTCTGTTCTGGGGGAAGTGAAACTTGATTGCTATCACAAACACAGAAATCAGATCTAAGAGCATTGCCCGTCTCTAGGTATGAATGGTAAAACTGAACTTTTGGAAGATAACATAGAATTTCTTCATGACTTTGATATAGGGAAAGATTTCTTAAAACAGACAGCAAAAGAACTAACTTTAAATCAAAAGTTGGTAAAATTAAGAGATCACATTCATCAAAAAAATAACACTATGAGAGTGACAGTGCAAAGCATCTAATCAGTAAGGGCTTACATCCAAAATATGTTAAAAATAGACTTTTTAAAAAATGTAGAAATTTGTATGAAAAAGACTCTTCATAGAAAAATGGAAAAACAATCTGGGCATTTCACACAAGTGGATATCCAAGTGGCCAGTAAATAAATGAAAAGGTGGTCACAGTCATCAGGAAAACACATTAAAATCACAATGGAGTACCAATACACTGTCGTGGCTGAAATCAGAGATACTGATGATTCCAGGTGTTGGTGAAGGAATGGAGTGGAGCACAGGGAGTTTTCGTAAACTACTAGGGAAAAATCAGATAAAAAACAAAAAAAATAGGACAGCATCTCTATATATGCAGAAAGACGTATAACAAAAATCTTCCCAGTGGCAGTATTCATAATAGCTTTGAACTGGAAATAATCCAGTGTCAGTCAAAAGAATGGATAAATAAATCGTCACCTGTTCATACAGTGGGGTACTATAAAGTAATGATAATGAACAAACTGTAGCTTAAACAGATTCACTTACATAAAGTTAAAACTAATCTGATTATGGAGGTCAGGATATTAATGACTTTTGGGGGAGAGAGAATTCAGCATTGACTGTGAGGGGTCGTGGACCAGTGGTGGGGTGGTTCTGGGAAGACGGCAGTTTTTATTATTCCTGCCTGACAAGTTCAGTTGATGATAATTGTTTAAGCTGTATTCTAATTTCTGTGTGTAATATATATAACAAGTTTAAGCATAGAATTTAATAATGGCACTGACAATAGAAATCGAAATTAATTTTTAAAAAAATGGTTATTATGTGCCGGGTTCTATTCTGCGTGTCTACTTGTGGTATCTCATTTAAACTTTGTGACAGACCTAAGGGACTGGGGTTAGTGCAATAACACCTCTGCTGTAGGCAGGGAAACTAGGGCCCAGAGTGGCTGTCCTTATGATGCAGGGTCTTAGTTTTTTTTACTGTTTATTTCTGAGTTGTTTGTATATCAAGGACCTCAGTTCTTTTCATATGTATTTTTATTTATTTATATTCCTTCCCAGTTTTCTTTTGTTTTTAACATGCAGATTTAAGCATACACCCCCCCACCTCCGCACCAATTATTTGACATTTAGATTTCCAGTTGTTTGCTGTTGCAAACAGTACCAGGTTATATATTGCTTCCTAACTGTATTTGTGCACAGCATCTATTATTTCCTTTGGATGTAATCAACCCCTACCCCCTTTAAACTGAACAGAATTGCTCCACATAATTGAATTAACTGAATGTATTTTAAATTCTGATTAATGAATTTTTTAGATAAGTTACCCCATTTGCCATGAAGACGTGGTCCTTTAACGTGTTCACAGACGTTTATCAGTCATGCACTCTGGGTCAGTTAAGGGCCTCGTGCTGTGAAAGGAGGGGACGGAGGCCGAGGTCTAAAAGCAGAGCTAACGCCAGGTGATGTGCACTTGTAAGCAGGGGTGAAGACTTGAGATTTGCACTTTAGAAAGGCCACTGTAGCCATCTCACTGAAGAAATACAGAATTGCAGATGGGCAAGGTAAAGACAGAGCGAGCTGTTAGGGATCTGTTGCAGTTGTCTGAGTGTGGCATGGGGTGACGGAGGCGGGAAGGAGAGGTGGTATCCGAGTGTTCTGCAGGAGGTGGGAACAGGATGGGGCTGTTACTTGTGTGAGGTGGTCTGTGGACGAAAAGAGCTCTACTGTGACTCCCAGAGCCTTGATTCTGATTGGCTCATGGGAGACAGTGGCATTTGCTGTGGGAGAATATAGAAGTGGACTTCTGTTTTGGGGGGAATTGAGCTTTGTTGTCTTTAGTTTGCAGAATCCGTGCGACATTCAGGTAGAGGTTGTACACTCCACGAGAAGGGTGCTCGTCTCTTCATCGTGACTGTACCTTTCAGTGCGGTGACTGCAGCAGATGTTAAGCTAGCTATCACAGCCAGAGCTGTTCTCAGTACTTTACACGTAGTAAAGTGCTCAACCTTCGCTACAGCTGTTTGAGGTACATCTTATTATCATTATCAGGACATTAGGTGTGCAGGGCCACACAGCTGGTGAAGTGTGGAGCTGAAATTTCAAACTGCAGCAGCCTGGCTCAGAGTCTGTGCTCTTCGCTTTTGGACCAGTGCTGGTGTGTGTTTTGAAACAAGTCAGCTTGAGAAAAAGTACCATGGTGCTGAACAGTGTGGTGAGAGTTCGCTGGTTTACTTTAAAAACAAAAACAAAAACAAAAAAAACCAGGTATTCTGGGCCATGTTGGTTGACCAGGGTTTTATGCTTTGCCTTCTGGCTTTAGTTTGTGATTGAAAGTTTTGTTGACTATAAGAAGAAAAGTCTTTTTCTTTTCTTAAGGAAAAAGTAACTTTTATTAGTTAGCTAGCAAGTACTTTTATGGACCAAAATGTTAATTTTCCATTTCTCCCATGAAAAATCATGACCATGGTCTCAGCCTACCTGCGAAATAATTATTGACTGTCATTTTGTGGCAGGCTTGCCTGGTCTAGGTTCTCTTGGGACTGTGTAAGAAGAGTCCAGAGGAATACAGCACCCTGTGAATTTGTTTCCATGTGTTGTGTGCTCAGCCTTTAATTACCTGTGTCAGTGGCGAGCACCATTAGGACGAATTTCTCACCTGCTTTGGAGGATGCTAGGGAGATTGATTGCCGTACACCTGACAGGTGTAAAGCAGAGCCTCAGCAGTGTTCCTTTGAATTGATTTCTAAAGAGCTGACCCACTGGACAGGCCTGATGCAGGCATTCAGAGATTACTTTTGCAATTTACAGTTCTCAACCAATGAAAATCTCGTATGTGAAAAAGTATTAAAGGTTGTTTCCATTGCTTTACAAAAAGATGTGTTATAAGATTTTCTCTTAAAACAGATTAGTAGATACTCATTTTAATCACTACTGGATTCTATACCATTTAACGTACAACAGTTGTGTTGAGTATCATATCCTTGTTTGTAGTATTAAAGGTTTTTAATATAATTGAACATCCTAAAGTTCTTAATTTAAAGAACTATCAAATAGATCAGAAGGTACAAACATTAGGATATGAATGCACCCTTTAAGCCTCATTTATTATCTTCTTGTAGGAGGAGAGACTTCAGCATGCAAACCTTCATCTGTTCGGCTTGCACCGTCATTTTCATTCCATGCTGCTGGCCTTCAGATGGCTGGACAGATGCCCCATTCACATCAGTACAGTGACCGTCGCCAGCCAAACATAAGTGACCAACAGGTTTCTGCCTTATCTTATTCTGACCAGATTCAGCAACCTCTAACTAACCAGGTAAGTTTACGATGTATCAGAAATGATTTGTTGGGATGGTCATTTATTCCTTAAAATAGTGTAATAGAAAACAGGCAAATACCTTAATGGTTTTCAGTTTTACATGTCACATGGGACTTCACATTAACAAAATACAATGTTAAGAAGTTTGCATTAAAATTTTTGTTTTTTTCCTCTTTCCCCTATGTTTTTCACTTTAATTAAAAAACACATATAAACATAAGCACATTCTCTCATTTTGCAGTAAGGGGGAAAGTTATTTCTAAAGAATATTAGTTAAAGAAACTGAAAGCTTATTTTTAGGGAAAGATGGTTAAGTAGAAAAATGTAAGTTATAGGAAAACAAGTCAGATTCCATTATAGCAAACTGATGGAGCTGATTTTATGCTGTTATAAACTACTTTATACACATACCTACAAGTAAATGTGAAACTCCTTAAAATTAACGTAAATTAGTTATGCTGCTCATTCTAATATTCAGACTAGAGATTCAGTAATTTTTCATAAGAATAGTATGAAGTGAATAAATGCTGAAATCTCTTGACATACATACATATATATATATGCGTGTGTGTATGTATTTTTAATATCTTCCTGAATTAACTGCATCTGCTATGTTGATTTTTGGTTTGGGAAGAATTTTTTTTTTAACCAGCTATAGTTGTGGTAAAGTTTCTTTCCCTCTGAGGTTGAGTGTGTGATGAGCACTGAAAGTGGCTGTTTTTCCATGTACTTAGGAATTTGGTTTGCCACTGTTTATTTAGGTCTTTTAATATGATCAAAAACTTGGAAAGTTCCAGAGTATTTCTTTTACTGGATTATTTGAGGGAAATTAGTTTTTCCTGACTTAATAGTATGTGGTTTTAATAAGCTATTGGCTACAGTTAAGTAATGCCATTATTTGAGGACACCCTTGTATGTATTAAAATAAAATATTGTCAATAGTTGACCTGATTCTACATTTATAAAATGTATTACAGCGTGTAAATAACATTCACAATAAAATAGTAAAATAAATTATGGCGGGACTTAAGAATTCTTTTATGCAGTAAATTGAGGAATTGTATGTTTGAGAATTAGAGTAGTTGGTCAAAACTGGAAAGTGTGTGTGTGCCAGAAGAAAATTCTCTGGACTTCCACATAATGATAGCATAATGATCCATTTGCATCGTACTTTTAAGAAACAAAGTATGTTTGGATTCATTTTCCCGCTTGTTCAGAAGCAGCCTATCAGGCAGGCTGCCTGTTCTTAATCTGTTTTGCAGCTGAAGGGACTGGGCTCCCATTTGTGATCTCTCCAAGCATGTAGGCAGTAGACTCTGGGGTCCAGCCCAGGCTTCTTTCTTTTTAGGTACAGTGCTCTTTACGCTCTAACACCTGGCATCTGCAAAGGACTAGGAAAAAGCCCAGTCCTTGAAAGTTATTTTTATGGTTATGTTACTGTGGTAGATAGTCTAGGTAGCTAGCAAAGTACCTATGTTTAGATACAACTAACATCTTATTTGTGGTTTGTTTTCAAATAAGAGATAAGTTAATTTAGTATCCATTTTAGGCTGTAAAATATTTTTAGATTCATATTGTGTAAAAAAACAGTCTTTTAAGTAATAATATTCAGCCAGATATTTTTGCCAAACTCCAGAATTTTCTGAACCGAAGGCAGTCAGATTAAAAGCTTTCTGCTAACTGAAGTGTAAAACACTAAAACTGTGTGCTGATGTGGCCTGGTCTACCAGACGTGAGTTCCAGATCTTGACTCATGATCTGGTTGTGTGACTTGAGTCAGGCCACAGGGACCCTTCTCTCTATTCCTTGAATGTAAGACTGGACTAGACTAGACATCCCACTCACCCAAGTGCCTTCTAGCTCTAAACCTCGGTAATTTCATTATTTGATTTCCATTGTTTCTTGTTAATCATCCTGTCAGTGTCTTTACAGTAAGGTTTATTGTACAAGTAAATTGAAATGAGCTTACTTTAACATTTCATTTCTGGTAATTAATCCTTCTAATATGAGTGTGTTTCATATAAATTTAAACACAGTTTTGTTCAAAAGATAAATGTAGTAAAAGTGTAGAAAAGTATGGTTACTGTTTGGAATGCTGAGCCTGTTTGGGCTATTACAGTTTTCACGGCACCTTTCATGGTTCTTAAACTTGTGTTCTGCATATGTGTTATGTATGCAGTTCAGCTTTATTAATAGGTCTCCAGATAGCAAGAATGGCAGGATATAGTGTTTCTTACTCTACTGTATATCAAAATATGAGGTAAATGTAAATAAAATGGATAGAATAGGTATTATTAAACTAGGAAACAATTTTTTAATGAAGTACTGGCACTTACACTATGGAATCTTTTCAAGAAAAAAAGATTTTTTAGCTCTTATAACTGATCTAAGCAGGAGGTGAGAACTACTGCCTTTTCTTTTTTTTTTTGGTCTTTGTGATCTGTGTCTTCACACAGAAAGGTCAGGAGATTTGGAGCCTTGGAGGTGTGGCTGTTTTTGGCTCCCAGAGCCAGATAGCTGAGGCAGCAGGAGAATTATCTTAGCAGCCATCCCTTTTGCAGGGACGTTGAGCAGCGGTGTGGAGGGGAGCTCGCTACCTGCAGCAGCTTGGTGAGCTCCTGGGTCCTCTGAACCACTGGGTTTTTTCACCCAGCTGGGGAAGGGAAGAAGGGAGCTTGTTACATTACATTCTCCTCACTTTGTGACTGTGGAAGTTGGAAGTGGACAAAGCATCAGATGGTTAGGGCTGGTATGAGTTTGAGTATAAATTTGTAGCTGTGTATTTGGAAAAATTATTTTCTAATTCTGGATTTGTGATTATGGCATTACAGTAGTGAAAAACAGAAAATTTGGTTACCTAACATGAAATCACAATGAAAGTTAGTGAAGAAAGTGTTGTATTGTTTGTAGGAATTAATTTGTTCTTCCTGTGTGTTTTGAGCATCTACTCTGTACAAGGCACTAATGGAAGCACTGAAGTACAGTCTGATCCAAAGGCCAGTTTTTTTGTGGATGGAATGCATCTGGTTTATATATACATATGTTCCTGAAATAGTAACTTTTGTTGCCAAAAGTATGTAAGAAAAGTAAGATATTTAGAATTAGCTAATTGACTTGGAATTGTAGGTGGTTTGGCCAGTTGTGAAAAGGTTAGCAATGTCGTGACATGGCCAAGTGCGTAGTGCACACTTACACACTGTGTGCATAAAAATGTGGTAGTCAGAATTACTTTCATAGCCAATTTCAGGTCTGTGCAGGACATTAAAAAATCTTTTTTTGATTGTGTGATTTTGGTGTTTTAAGTGAGCATAGTTACTCCTGGAAAAATGTAGTCATTGGTTCAAAATTTTCCAGTGTTTGAAATACCAGTGGAATTGTAAGTGGGCAAGTTGAAAACTTAAACGTATTTATAGTTTTGAACATAACTAATTTTAATAAATGATTATGTTTGTTTTGTTGGTATATATTATGCATGGCTCGATTATTTTGCCCAACAAATAGCCTAAAAATGATTCCGCCAAGAAGCTAGAATAGACTCCTAAAATTAACAGGGAGCCCCTGGCCCAGTGCTGTGATTCAGAGCGTGGGGTTGGGCGTGAGACTGCCTTAGTTCGCTTCTCATCTGTATTATTTTACTGGCTCTAGGACCTTGGTCAAGTAATTTTACCTCAGGAACACAGGTTTCTCATTTGTAAAATGGTGACAGGGACATTACTTATTTTCGTGAGATTGTTGAGAAGATTACATGAAAGATGTAAAAATATGCATGCCCAAAATACAGTGTGTAGCAAACGCTTGCTGCTGCAGTTATTATTTCATTGTTAACTAAGTAATTCATTTGTCTCTAATGATAGTTGTACCTTCTGTCAACGCTTACTACAGTGGTAATGAAGTATTTCACTGGTTCGGATTTTGTGAAACCTCACAGTGAGGCTGCACTCCAGTAGTCCAAGAAGGGTCTTGCTGAGAACATTACCTGCTTGAAAACAATGCCAGTGCTTAAAAAACAGGAAAGGAAATAGATTATGAGAACCCTGTTTCATTACCTTAAATGCTTACAGCTTCATTCGCATGAAAATAACTGACATGCTTATACTGATACTGTCTATTCCTTCAGTTTCCAAGGACTGGTACGAGAGCCAAATATTCTGTGAATCTAGTTGTACCTGTTTATATTTAAAAAATAAAACAATATGTATTTTAAAAATTAATTCAGATTATCTCATTAAGTCTTACTATATTTTCAGACAAATAGTTATAATCACTGTTTGTCCCCTTAAACCTTATTTGGAACTTTGAGAAGGAGAGATCATGGGAAAAGAACATCAGTAACTGAATACAGTAATTCAGTGAATTTGCTATCTGGGTAACAATTTTTAGAATTTGAGTGTAGATGCAGAGGAAATCAATGTTAAAATCGGTTCGATCACTGCTGTGGTCCCTCCGCCTTCTCATGCTGCGGGGATGAGTGATTCTTTTCTGTTGCGTCCATTGTTACCTCTACCCTCCTGTCTTCTTTTTTGTTAGTGTGAGTTAACTTGGTTAATTTTCCCAAGACTCCACACATTTCTGTTAGGCCTTAGTGTGATGTGTTTGCTTTCTCTCTGCCCTTCAAATTGACCAGAGTGTCCTTTGAAAGGGGCTGCATCAGGGGCTCCTGGCTCAGTAGATTTTGCTGGTATAAATGTCTGTAAGAGAGCTAGACAGGAATCCAAGGATGGCTAGTAGTAGGGACCTTGATGTAATTAATTGGTTTTGAGGATCAGGATCTCTTGGTTGCAAGAAGCCCCACTGGGAACCCTTTTACTGAGGCTTGCCACGTGGCAGAGTGGGGTGGGAACAACAATCCAGCATCATTGGCGTGCTAGTTGCAGTGTCCCTGGGTGTGCTTGTGTATGGAGGACATTTCGTGTTCCTCCTCCAGCCCCCATCTAGCAGGAAGCTCACAGTTGTACTCTGACTGCTTACTGGGTGATGAAAGACGTGGTTTAGCATCGCGTTGGGAGTACGGCTGAAATGAGTTTTTTAAAAGAAAATTTCATTAGCTTTAAGGTATCCTCTGGAACTTATTTGTGGTCAGCTCTTAGTGTAATCAGAAGTAGAGATACTGGTATTATGGATTCATTTGTTTGTTCAACAGATATTTATTAAAGAACCTACCATGTGCCAGGCACTGTTGTAGGCAAAGGTAATACAACATTGAACAAAATCCCTGTGCCACATGGAGTTTTCTTTGTAGTGGAAGGAGGACAAACCAAAACCAGTAAATGAGTAAATGTATACTAGTATGTCAGGTGGTGATAACTCAGCAGGACTGGGGCGAAGGGAACGTGGAGGGCAAGCTCAGATGCGTCAGGTGGAGGGCATGCTTTACTCAATTATGGTAAAGAAGTGAGTGCAGATTTCAGCCTTGCTTACATTATAGGCAGACGCTTGTTGGAGGGCAGGCTCTCGGGGTGTTGGGAGCTGCACTTCTGCAGCACCAAACTCCATCTCTGCCCTGTGACCAGCTTGCTTCATGGTGCCAGCTGGGTCCTAAAATCTTGTCTTAGGAGGCTGGAAGATGAGTTAGTCTTTGCCTGCTGTGAACCAGGTCAGGCTTAGGAATAATTCAGAAGTTTTTCCTTGGCTAATTGTATGGTGGAGAAGCCCTCTTGGGCAGCATATCATGCATGTCTCCTGAACCAGGGGTATGTCTATAATGCTGTTGTTTAATTTGGGGAACAGAATTGAAGCCTTGGGCAGCTGGGCATATTTTCTTCTCGTTTCATTCATTTTTCCAGTGGTTGTCTTCATTGGATTCCAGTTAAAAGAGATAACTGAAACTTCTAATGTAGATGTCTTTTTTTTTTTGTAATACATATACACAGGTTACAAAAGAGGGAATTCATGCCAGTACAGTATAGTTAAAGTGCTAGTCTTTTCTGTCTATTTAAGGTGATGCCTGATATTGTCATGTTACAGAGGCGGATGCCCCAAACCTTCCGTGATCCAGCTACTGCTCCCCTGAGAAAACTTTCTGTTGACTTGATCAAAACATATAAGCATATTAATGAGGTAAGACTATTGATTTGTTATAACACCATCTATCTTGCAATAGAATAGGGGAAAGAAGTTATTTTGTGATGTATTTAAACATACTAAAATTTTTTACTCCCAATGATTTGTCATATTGATGACTATTATGAAGACTGGTAAGTTAATGATTTATAGATAGTATAATTACGTAAAAGAAAAAAGACATTAACAAGGACTACAGAAAATTAAGATAATTATGGATAACTTTCCTTCTTTTTCAAAATGTTTAATATAGGCTGAGTTATCACTTCTATAATAACTCCTCTTCAAAACAAGAAAGGGGAAGGGAGGGAATAATGACACTGGAAAAGTCTGAATATGTTAGAATTTTGCTTGAATTTTCATTTATCTGTTTTTCCTATTGCCGTGGATGTCAGGAAGCTCTGAGATGTATTCTGTACCCATTAACAGGCATCTGGCCTAGTTTATCTATATAATTTTCTTTTTAAATTGATATGTGTTCTTTTATCTGTATCTTTTCATTGTAAGATATCCGAAAGCCTTTTTGGTGGAAGTAAGTATGATAAAAAAAAATGCACTTTGAATTACTCATCTTCCAACTTGACTCTTTGCCTCCAAAAATTATTTTTCTGGTGTTGTCTTAGACCTCTGGCATGATTGTTACTTGCTTCTAACCGCAACTCTAGCTCTGTAATTAATTACTAAATGAGGTTTTCTGGAGAAGAGTGCCTGTGCTTTCTTTCCTTTTCCGGGGGGCCCTACATCCTTTCACACTGAAGGCTTATCTTCTACCAGTGTTAGAGCCACTTATCTAAAAAGATGTTCTTATGTGTGTATAAATTTTATAATAGTTTGATGCTGTTTAATGCCAGTATTTATGTTACTGTGGCATTGTGGCAAGATAAAGTTGGAATGAATTCAATGAGGAACATTTCTTAATTGGATTTTGTACATAATTAATGTGTTATAAAAGATGTGCCAAACCAGCTTTTGGTTATCTGAAAATATCTGATAATATTGTTAATACTTTATTAATGTCAGTTTGTTAATATCTGATAAATTGTTAAACTGTTAACAGTAACTCTGTTGAAGCTTGTTTTTAACTGTTTTGCCACCTTGTAAACTAGAATTTTTGTGATGTTGCTCTTTGCAGTGTAATTTACAACTTCCTCAGTTAGTTACCAATTACTTGGGCTATTGCCTAGTCTACCTATTATTTTTTACTAGTCTTAGAAACTATAAGAAAAACAGATATAAGGAAGATAACTCATTTTGTGATCAACCACAAGGTTCATGGCCTTTATTGTGTGGGATAGGTAGGGAGCATATCTGTTTTTCATTTATGTGTTGGTATAGGCTTAAAAGCTGGGGATGTCTCAGAGGCCCCTTTTATATTAGTAAAAGATCAGTTCATATACATTTAAACTTTCATTTTTAAACTCTTTTGCCTTAGGATCAAATATAAAATTGGGATTGACTAGAAGGGTCAAGAAGGAACTTGAATATAAGGAGGCTGAAAATGTTATTTATTTTGTTTGGCATTTGTTGATTGCATCAACACGTGCAATTTTCCAGAATCTCTCATATGATACTCTTGAGATCTATGCCATTTCACTGTATATAAATTATATTTTGGTTTAAAAAAATAAATGTAGATCAGGTCCTGTTACTCTTCTTGAATGGGAGGCGTTGCTCCAGTCACTTAACATCTATTTATAAAATGTATAAACTGTATAGTTCTAAAGGGAATTTTACTGCAGAAATTTTCCCTGGTTATATATTAGTGTTATTCTGAAATTCAAATAGCAACTATAGAAAATTCTTTATTTCATTTGTGTGTGTTACAAAGAATAAAAATTCATCTATTTCCTACCGATAGCAGATTTGTCTCATATATACTTTTGATATATGGTGTATGCCACCCCCACCCCCCCAAGTGATTTTAATGACACAGTTAACATTGCATATTCTCATTTCAGGTTTACTATGCAAAAAAGAAGCGAAGACACCAACAGGGCCAGGGAGACGATTCCAGTCATAAGAAGGAGCGGAAGGTTTATAATGATGGTTATGATGATGATAACTATGATTATATTGTAAAAAACGGAGAAAAGTGGATGGATCGTTACGAAATTGACTCCTTGATAGGCAAAGGTTCCTTTGGACAGGTAATTTAATGGAAAATGCTGAATTTTATAGTTAGAAAGAATGTATTAGTGAATCATGTTGTTACATCTTTTTCTCAGTAGTACACTTCTAGTGTTTGTAAATAAATAGATCTCAGCAACAGACATGTAAGTATCTGGATTATCGTTGTTCTATGAAGGTACTAATACTGCATCAGTTCTGAAAACTCCATGAGCAGGTTTTTGTGGGGTTTTTTTGTTTTTTGGTTTTTTTGAACTTATTTTCTGAGGCTACTGGGTAACTACTTTACTAAGTGGTTGATTTTAATCACTGATAGATAGTATTGCCTCTTTCACAGGGGCTTTGGAGTCTGTGGGTGGTTCTTCATTATGTATGTTAGAGATAATTGCGTTCCTGTCTGATACTCCTCTTCAAGGAGAAAAACGCTTACCATCTTCAGCTGGCACAGCAGGTGTCCTCTCACGTTTTCAGAGGCTTGGATGCCAGGGGATGTGCCTTGACTTTGTCTCTCGGCTCCTCTTCTAACTCTGCCAGGCCTCTGAGTGGGCAGACGGTCTCCAGGATGTCGTTCTCAGGCCTCCCACAGTGCCAGCGTGGCTAAGGCTGTGACTGGTGGAGTTCTGATGGGCAGGACCACTCGGGCAGCACGGCTGCTTAAGAAAGTGAGGAAGGAACTCCAGTGGACCTGGTTTTTTCACTTCCTTCCTGGCCTCTTGTCTCTACCCACAACTCTCCTCTCCTCACTTGCCCATCCCGCCCAACACAGAGGACAAAGCCCTCACTGCATCAGTGTCTTGCATCAGCTGAGCCCAGACTAAGCTATCCTTCCTCCTTGCCCTTCATGAAGCTTTTCTCGGGCTGTGGCTTCCCCAGCTGTTCCCGCTCCTAAATCCCCCTGTCTCATTGGGTCGCAGTGCTGTTTTATTTGAGGTATGGTTTCCTGTTCATCCCATTCTCCATTGCCTTGCAACTTTTCTGCAGTGAAGCAGTTATTAATTTGCAGTCCAAATACTTCTGACTTTTTGACAATTTGGGGGGTTGTTTTAGTTTTTTCTTAAACTGTGGACCCTACATGTTCTTACTTATCTGTTCCTGCCCTGTGAGAAACAAAATATGCCTCTATCACCCTATGAGGAAAGGTTTTCCTGTGTGAATCTGATCGTGTTTAGGACAGAAAGAATACTGTAAGCCACTAGCAGCCACAGGCTGAGACTAGGACACACCTAAGCGATGAAACCTGAAGGAGGTACGAACAAGGTTGTTAGCAGAGCTCTGCAGCTCTGGGGTGGCTCTGTCAGGCCCTGGTGTCACGTGTACAGTATGCCTGCCCCTTTCCATGATGTCAAGGAATTTTTGTAATTATACGTAATTCAGGGCCTTTTCCCTTGATTTTAACCTCTTTCTTCTGAGTCAGGGGTTTCTCAGTGTTATTGGAGCCCTTCTGTATCAAAATATTACTTCTTGTCAGAAGCAACTTCTACTTCTCTGTCAGAGCCTCTTAAGGAAAGATATTTCTGAGGCCTACCGCCTACGTAAGTAAGGCTGTGAATGCGCCAGGTGGAGTGATTTCTGTCTCCACCCTCAAAATCACACCGACGCTCTGGCAGTTGCCTCCAGCAGGGCGTCATCTGACTTCTGTGATGCCCACTGTGCAAGTCGTGGCCATGCGGCTTGCTCTTTAAACTTAGTTTTCCCTGACACTTACTATTCAAGCTCACAGTGATCCTCCCCCTCCCCTTTACCTTTTCTCATACTCTGATTTCTAAGAGCACGTGAGCATCATATACTTGTGAAAATACAGGCCTGTTTGACATCAGGATTCATTTTCCCAGATGAGAGTGATGGACACCTTTCGCCTGGAGGCTGAAGTGTGTTCAGGGTCAGGACCTGTCACTCGCCAAATAAAGTCTTCCTTATTGACTTTCTCAGGCTTTCTCTAAATTCTCTGCCAGGTCCTTGTCAAATAAGCAGCTCCTTCATTTCTTAAGCCAGTGGTTATCAGTCCTGACTGCACACTGAAAATTTCCAGGGAGCTTTGGGCTTGGGGGTTGGGGGTTGGGGAGGGAAGACTGGTGCCTAAGCTCCAGACTAATGAACTCAGAATCTCTGACTGAATTCTGGACATTGGGATTCTTGAAAACCGCCTATTGAATATATAATTCAAGGTCAAAAATCATTGTTTTACCACTGAGCCAGTTAACTATTTGCAAAGTCAGTAAATAGTTGGGGCCCTTTTAGTGGCCTTTGTCCTGGAGACCATTAGGATCTGGGCACTAAACTGTCACTCTTGATGTAGTCAGTATGGTCAGTGAAAGAGAAGAATATCAAAACCACTTGGTCGTGGTCAGATGTTTACATGGGTCACCTCTGATTTAAAAGGCAGTAGGCAGTAGTTTATTTTAGAATTGGGTGGAACCAGAGATACTGCATTTTTTATTTTAAGTTTGATTTCAGCTGAACCATTTATGATCTGTCATTGACAATAACTTTGACTGATGTGGATCTTGGACCATGCATCCACTTTCTTCCTCTAATCCAGTGACGCTCAACCAAAACATTGGAATCACTTGGAGTTCTACATGCATCTCCAGACTTTCTGAATATGCTAGAAAATGTGTCTAAAGCTATTATCTGTTCAGACTATATATAATATTACAAAAATAAGAATATTTAATCAGGTGTAGTGGTTATTTCTAATTTGTATAGATACAGTTTTCTTTTATCATTGTATTTGTTTCCTAGTTTTTAATGTAAATTTCTTTGTCAACAGTGTGAAACTTGTTTAAATGAGTAAAATTTAAAATGAGAGGTGTGTAGTCATTTGTTCATGAACGCTTCAGTTTCCTTAGCATTAATTCTCATTTTAAAACTCAGAATCCTCCAATTATGGTATTTTAACTTATTTCCTGCTTATTTAAAAAAATTTTTTTTAGTCTAAACTAATTCTCTTATGCCTGTGAAAATCTAATGTAAATTTAGAAAGTTACCTACATTTTTCAGATGACTTTACAACCTTTTAAATATCTCACATGTGTACTTGGAATTTAAACCAGATTCTTCTCTCGTTTAAAGAATAGTCAGATGTATTGTTTTATAATGTTATTTAGTAAGAAAGGTGGAAAACCAAAGCACTTGTCAACATTCATAATTTATTTTTGAAAGAGGAAAATAGTTATTCTAATTTTGTTAAGAAACTTACCTACTTTGTGGATGTTTAGAAATACTATAAGGGTGCAAAAGAAATCCAATTGAAAAAAGATTGACTTAAAGTGACAGTAAAGTAATAAATGGATGCTGTTGAATGGAAATGAATAGAATCTCATATTTAGGAAGGTCAGAAAAATGGGAATTAGATAAATGTATAATTAAGGTGAATTATAAATTGTTGGTAAATTGTTCATTAATGAAATAGGTATTATTTTTTTTTTCTCTTTTAGGTTGTAAAGGCATATGATCGTGTGGAGCAAGAATGGGTTGCCATTAAAATAATAAAGAACAAGAAGGCTTTTCTGAATCAAGCCCAGATAGAAGTGCGACTTCTTGAGCTCATGAACAAACATGACACTGAAATGAAATACTACATAGGTAAACAGACAGACAGACAAAGCAGTGCGCCCTGACCCAGACCAAAGATTTGAGTTAATGGTTATTTTTATATGATAATATGTTGATTTTATCTGAAAGTGATTGAATAAAAATCAGTTATTTCTGTTGGAGGGCATACAGATCTGTATATGTTACTTGATCTGGCGGTAGTATTTTAAATCTTTAGGAATGGTGTTCCAGGTGGTACATAGTCTAAAAACAAGTAAGAATAGTCTCTCTCTCGCTCTTTTTTTTTTTGCGACTTATGAGTGCCATTTGTTTGCTTTAATGATGCATTAAACTCCAGAGATTTCTTTGTTAACTTTAATCGTTTCTAATACAGCTCAGAAATTAGAAGTGAGGTACTATGTTGTTAATGATCATAGAACCATTTTTGGAATGTCTTCCTCAAGAAATAACAGCCACCATGTCTTGAACTTCTACCATATTCCTTGTGCTGTTCCTCCGTCGTCTGTCACAGTCATAGCAGTCCTGTCAGGAAGGTGGTAGAATCCTTGTCCTGCAGATGGTCTCAAGGAGTAACATACCCAAGGTCCCAGCACTCTGAAAACAAAAAAAAAGGGACAGAAGAGTTATGAAAATAGTGACTTCTAGGGTCAGTTGATACATGGGTAAACTGTCTTCTAATTACACATTCTCTAATACTATTTTTAATCAAATCTAAGACGCCAGTGATGGTCAGACATCATTGTTTTATTTGATGACACTGAAATGAAATGCCACCAAGAAGAAACAAATTGCTGCCAAGTATAAAAATAAGATGCTATAAATTTTAAGATAGAGATCTTAGGATCATTTAATTACAGACTTTTAAAAATAGGCATATATTAGAAACTCATGTTCAGAAATGCTGGCTGGTTTACCTGGTAACCATGAGGTTAAGTTTTATTAACGAACTCCTTTTTAATAAATTAGGAGAGGGCGTTGTGGTTCTTTACTTCCTCCAAAATGATAGAAAAAAAACCTGAAGTTTAAAGATACATGGTCCAGAGACTCCGATTAGATTTCATATATGAAACACCTTCATTCCTTATTGTTGAAATAAAATGAGCTTATCCTATTCATTTTTCTTTCTTAGTGTCTTTATAGATCATCTGATACAGGCCATAGTAATAGCATTTGCATTTGAACCCTTTTCTCATCTAATTCACTGAATGTTTGGTCTTCACTGTTAGTTACAACTTAGTATAATCTGGGCACATTTCCATTCAATGGGTTAGAAGGCCAGGAGGGACGTTCTGAGGATGCTTGACTTATAAAGGAGGCATCTGAACATACCTCACCTCTTCTTCCTCTTCACTCTTGTGTTTTATTTTGAGTTTTTGCTTAAGTGGTAGACAAAATATTGATAGCATTACTATAACATTTTAATTCTGCCTTTTTGAAAGAAAACATGAAATGTTAGCTACTTGGTTATATTACGATAATGGCTGTCATTTTTGTTTTTAATAAACTGACTTTAATGATCATTAATTGCGTTAGTCACCACAAATACTCTTTTGGATGAATGTTTTAAACTTCTTTAGGAAGATGCCGAATTAACACGCAGTGTCTCAAGAAACGGAGGTTCTATATTGGAAAACTAGCCCCCCCCCCAAAATAAACACTCGATTTAGCCTTGCCAGTACAGTAGATACATTAAATTTAGGGTGTCTGGAAGTCGTGTTGCTCTTTCATGATACAGGTAATTTTTTAGTTTGAAGTGATTGATCAGTATAATTTATTCTAATGAGTTTTATAGTCTTAACTCTTTGAACTTAAAAAAAATTACTTTTTAAAAAATTTTTAAACCATGCAGCATAATTTCTTATGTGGATTATTTGGTCCCTGCCATGGTCTAGAAATGATAAATAGGCTTATGAATGGAGAAAGAGTATAGAATATATTATTTGCTATAACTATGGGCCCTCTAAAAAGGCTTAGTAGTCGATAAATTGCTTCAAAAAGTGGTGCTTTAAGTATTAACACTGACTTCACATGAGATGAAGTCATTCAATAAATTAAAGCATTGCCCTTCAGTATAAAACTTCTTACATATACCAAATTGAGCACCTATAACTCAACAGGAATGATGTAAAACAACCATTTGTCAAGGCTACCTTCATTTTGGTCTTTTAGTATCATTTGAAACAGAAGTTTCTCTACAGAGCTATCTGGAATAACTATGACAGTATTCCGTGTCTGGCCCCTGAGAACAGGGGTACACAAGGCCTTGCAGTGGTGGTACTTGTATCATAAATTGCTTACTGACAGACACTGTACCTATTTAATTCAGCAGATAAACAACTTAGATATTTTTTAACTGTTTAAAGAATGTGCTATTTACTGCAGAATGCTAATCTCCAAACTGTAACTTGATTTTCACTCTGCATTTGACATTATAATTGTGAGTTCATGTGTATGTTATTCTTATTTAATTGGTATGTTTAATTTAAAATGAAACTTTTTTCTCTTTCAGTGCATTTAAAACGCCACTTTATGTTTCGAAACCATCTCTGTTTAGTTTTTGAAATGCTGTCCTACAACCTCTATGACTTGTTGAGGAACACCAATTTTCGAGGTGTCTCTTTGAACCTAACACGAAAGTTTGCACAGCAAATGTGCACCGCACTGCTTTTCCTTGCGACTCCAGAACTTAGTATCATTCACTGTGACCTAAAACCTGAGAATATCCTTCTTTGTAACCCCAAACGCAGTGCAATCAAGATTGTTGACTTTGGCAGTTCTTGTCAGTTGGGGCAGAGGGTAAGTATATTTCAGGACTTGTAAATTAAAATATAGAAATAGGTAGAACAGTGTAGGTAGATACTTGAAGTGTTATTAACCTGTATACAGTTTGGAGGTAATACAGGATGGTTATCTTTAAAATGTAGCACATGAATCACTTATGTTGATACTTACTTTGGGGGAGATACCTTTTAAATTGCAAACAGTAATACTTTCAGTTAGAAGGTGTTGGTTTTTCAAAGTTTAGTTACAATTTTCTTTCTTTCCCTTTTAAAATAAAACTGTCTTTGCTTTAGTGATATTTCTAGATGTAAATTCTAAATGGCTACATGGAGATGAATTGATCTCAAGACATTCTCAGATTACTTCATTGAAAATAATACATTTCAAGATTTTCTTTTTCTAAGAAGTCTTAGAGCGAGGTGGAGGGGACAGGGTGGAGAGGAAGTGATTAGTCAGAAATAACTCCCAGTTGAATCTCTGTGTGGCATGTTTCTAGGATCTGTCTGTGAGACTAGTATAATGCTGATGTCTGAATTTTTAGCTACATTGTACTGAGTTTATTTTGACCTTTAAATATTTAGGTTAAATACAGTTTAACTGTTAAATTCATGGTAAACCAAGTGCTAGCCATAGCAGGAAAGAATAATTAATAGGGAAATAAATTGTTCTCAATAATATTTTCTTCTAATAAGGAATAATTTTTAAGATACATCTTGATTACCAGTTAGGATTGAATTAAATGAAAGAGCTTGAATTTTGTGTATTTTGTATTTCACAGATCTAACGACTCCCTTGAAATGTTTAGTTCTTTAAATAACATTCACAGTCTAATGTTGAAATCAGTAAATGAAACTATAATAACTTTTTTTGTTAATATTAGAGTATTGTTCTTAATCTAACGTTGACCACAATTTAAAAAAACTTATTTTGGCATTAATACTATTTTGAAATGTATTTCAGATATACCAGTATATTCAGAGTCGCTTTTATCGGTCTCCAGAGGTGCTGCTGGGAATGCCTTATGACCTTGCTATCGACATGTGGTCCCTTGGGTGTATTTTGGTTGAAATGCACACTGGAGAACCTCTGTTCAGTGGAGCCAATGAGGTATATGATGGATCGCTTTAAAAATTGTTTCTGTTTTCATGGTTTTTTCTTTTTAACCTCTGACAGTGTAATTTTAAGTTGTTTTTAGGAAAAGGTGTCTGTTTACCAGCTTAATCATTCAAGTATTAGGTCAGTTTTGATCTTATCTATTTTTAATTTTTTCAGTTATATAATGGTGAGTGTAGAATTATGAAATAGAAGGTGAGATCTTTCAATCTGCTGATGAAAGAGAATGGTAAATTAGATTAGAAAACGTTAAGTATTTTGGTATAAATTTTACTGATTTTTAAGTATAACAGAAAAAGATGATATTGAAGAATTGAGGGCCGCCCTAAAAACAGTGTGAACGTCACTGTGGATTTTGAGGGTATGATTTGGAGTTAAAGTAAATGACCAGTAGGTAGGGTTGGTGGATATTTGATCTCAATAATTTAGGGCAAATTAGGACTAGAGGGCCTAGTTAGAGCTACAGACTAATGTGATTCTCCCAGTCCCCAGGCTTTCAGTCTGCGTTCAGAGAGGACTGTTGCCGGTCAGCGGCAGTGCCGGGGAGGGGTGGGAGGGCAGGGGAGGGAGGGGCCAGGCTCCCTCCCAGTCAGAGGAGCTGGGCTTTCAGTGGGTTTTGAAACTATTCACTTGCGGGGTTCTGGTTTTTTTTTGTTTGTTTTTTAAAGAAAAGTTAAAAGTTGCAGATCATGATCAGTCCGCTCATTTACACATGAGACAAGAAAGACTAATGAAATGTAATGACCTGTCCTGGATTATACAGCTGTGAATAAATAGTGTCACGAACCTGTCCCTTCCGCCTTCCTTTTCAGTCACTTCACTGTGGCTAGTGAGCTCCTGTTTGGCAGTAACTGCCATAGTGTATATTTGTTTTCCTTTTAATAGTAAATAATATTACCCTGTAATAGAACCTTTTCCATGGGCTTAATACTAAGATTGCCTGAAACTTCAGTGGCTTCCACCTCACTCACGGTAAAAGCCAAAGTCCTTTGAGTAGCTTGAAGGTCCCTTGCTCCCTCTGCTCCCGTTCCCCCTCTCCCACCGGTCCCAGCACACGACCTCCTGTCTGGTCTAGCCGCAGGCCCTGCCAGGCCCTTGCACTCGTCTTGTGCCAGGCCTGAAGTGCGCCTGCTCCCTCACTGCATTTATAATTTATAAATGAATGAATGAATTGATGAGCAGAATTAGGATGTAGTACAGTAGAAATTACAGGGTTTTTGTTTTTATTTTGAATACAGGTAGATCAGATGAATAAAATAGTGGAAGTTCTGGGTATTCCACCTGCTCATATTCTTGACCAAGCACCAAAAGCAAGAAAGTTCTTTGAGAAGTTGCCAGATGGCACTTGGAACTTAAAGAAGACCAAAGACGGAAAACGGGTAAAACAGGGAAATTTTTTTTTTGAGCCTTTATTTCTTTTCACTGAACTGTCTTTAAGCATACTTTGTATTTACTTGAAATCGGTGTTACAGTTAATTGGTCCCATTGGTAACGTAAGTATATGTATTTTTTATAGTTTGACCTAAACTATCTGTTATAGACCAGTGTTTGATGAATCCTCAGGGTTCTCTTTAAGGCTTCATTTTGAAAGCTATATGTCAGTATATATATGTATTTTAAAAATGTGCAGTATGTAGTGTATATGTATCCACATGCAGTATACTGTATATGTGCAGTCAAATTGTAAACAGTTCTACCTAATAAAACTGAAAAAATGAAAAAACCTATATGTCCCTGCCTTTTGAGGCAGCTGATCAAATCGCCCTTCCTTGTTTCAATGGTAGAATCAGTAGATTTGACCTTTGTGTCTTATAGTTTGGGTATATAGTGAAGTCACAGTTAACAGTAGTACAGCTGTGAACAGTAGAAGTCATAACTGCAGTAAATGGCTTTTTTTTTTTTAAGTTGAGAGAAAAGGATTTTTGACTCAAGCAGTTTGTGACAAGAATATGAACTGACTGGACAGTCCTTTGATAGATTTCAGATTCCCAGCTTGATGACATGGATAGCAGGAATCTCACATCTCCAAAATCTTTGGAAGTGAGGTTTTTAAAATGTTAGGTTTGTTTTAGTAATTTTCAGATACCTAAACTGTGTCAGTTTAAAAGAGTAAATAATGACAATTTTACATCTTGATTTACCTCCTTGTTTTATGTATCTGAAAATAATCGTGTGTTTTGTAATCTAGTTTATTTCTAGTATAAGATGGATATAATCTATAAATACATGATTGTGTGTGATATATATACCACATCACCCTGTGATTGTAGTTCTGCATTTTTTGCACTTAAGAGGTTGCATTTTTGGTGGTTTTTATTTTGCCCTTGCCACCAGGGGTCATTTCCAGTGAACTGAAGGTGATGTTGTTTGCTGTACTTCACCTTCAGCTATGGAGTCTTAACTTTTAATATCAATTTTTTTTAGAACATTAAAGAAAAAAACGTTGTAGCTTTCACAGCTGATTTGTAACTTACTGCATTCTGCCTTATTGTCTAAAGTTTCAGGCGGTGCAATATCCGGCAGCTAAATTATACCTACTCCACATAAAGAAAGGATGGAAAATACCAAGCAGACATCCTGAGTCCTTTTGCCTTTGTCCACATAGCTTATCAGTCATGGCCCCTTTTCCCACTGAACCAGAGCACAGCCTGGGACTCCTCCTTAGCTTCACCAGTGTTCAAAGTAGCTCCTACCAGTTGATTTTAATTAGCATGGAGGATATGAGGCCTCTTTAATGTTTTTATCTTCTCTGTGATACAGGCTACTGCTTCTTTCTCCAATTTGAAGTTTTTTGCCTACTTCTGCTATTTTTCCCCTTTTTCTAAATGAAACATTCATCTCATTCCATTTCCCTAATCTCTGCTTTAGAAAAACCACAGTTAACTATGGGCTGTAACCTATCATTTCTCCAAAATTGGGCTATAATAATTATTGTTTTAAATTATTTTGGGGGGCATTTCAGAAAAGAGTAGATACATCTTTTCGCTTCTTAAAATTGAAAGTATCTTAACCTACATTTAATATATACCAATTATAGATTTTATGAGCTTTTCCTTAGCTGCAATTAGCAACTGACTTAAAATTAATTTTTAAAAGTATAAAATAATTATTTCTCTTTAAACAAATTTTTAACAAGCAAAAAAATCAAATCTGCAACCAAATGATTACATTATGACAGATGCACTAGGGGTTCTAACCATAAGTATAAATAGAAATGCATGCACTGTCAGTAGGTATGTTTGTGTGGTTTATTTCCTTAGTGATTTTATTTTTACTCTTAATTTCTCATTTTATGTTTCAAGAGCCCATTTTTGCTTCCTAGTAATGAAATTCATATTTACTATGTATTTTTTTCCTTTGGTGGGGAAGGAGGATGAAGAATTAAGACTGCAAATGATGCTGTTTTATTGAAGTATATTTTATATACAATCAGATTTGCATATTTTAAATGTTCACTTTGTTGAGTTTTAACTTTTATGTACAGCAGTGTATTCACTACCTAAAAGACTCTTTCTACCACCTCAGAAGTTCTCTTGTGACCCTTTTCTGTCATCCCACCCTCTCTCTGATTTCTGTAATTATAAGTTAGTTTTAACTACTCATAAGTAAAATTCATGTAAATGGAATCTATAGTATTTATTATTTTGTTTTGTTCACTTAACAGACATTGTTTTTGAAGATTCATCCATATTGTTGTGTGTCTAAGAGGTTATTCCTTTTAATTGCATCATAGTGTTTCTTTGATTATCTATATTTACCTTTCAGTGGTGGTTTGGGTTGCTTCCAGTTTAGGACTATTATGAATAAGGCTACTGGGAACATTTTTTATAAATCTTTTGTGCACATGTTTTTCTTCCTCTGGGGTCACTACTTAGAAGTAGAGTTACCAGGTCATTAGGGTATATGTGTGTTTACTTTCACAAGAAAATGCCAAGTAGTCCCACAAAGTCTTATCATCTTATCGCCCCTACATGTGAGTGCTCAGTTGTATGACATCCTCACCATTTGATATGGTTGGTTGTTTTTTTTTGTTTTAGCCATTCTAATGGGTATGTATCAGTTTTCATTTTCATTGCTTCGCAACTAATAATGCTGACACTTTTTCTTGTGCTCATTAGCCATTCATATATCTTCTTTTGTGACAGTCTGTCCAGTCTTTTGCCTGTTTGTTATAGGAATGTTTAACTACTGAGTTGTAGGAGTTTTTTTTTTTTTAACATATAACGGATATAAGCCTTTGTCACATATATGTGACAGGTATTTTTTCCTAGACTGTGAGTTGCCCATTTATTTTTTTAGTTGTAGTTTTTGATTAACAGAAAATTTTAATGTTGACAAAATAAAATTTGTCAACCCTTTTTTATGAACAATCTTTACCTTCCTCAAGTTGGTGAAGATACTCTCCTTTGAAGGTTGTTTGTTTTGATTCTAGCTTTTACAGTCAGAGTTCATGGTCTATCTTGAATTAATTTTTGAGTATGGGATGGGGATATAAGAGTTGAAGTTCATTTTTGTCACATGCTTACCACTAAGTTGTTGATCTGATTTGGCACATTTATCCAAAAGCAATCTTTTGTGTGATGATCTTTATTTGGACTTTGCTGTTTCATTGGTCTGTCTGTCCTTGAACCAGTGCCACATTGCTGATTACTATGGCTTTGTGGTAAGTCTCTAATTCAAGTGGTATAAGTCCACCAGCTCTTCTCGTCTGTTTCAAAATTGTTGGGTTTTTCCCCGTCTAGGTCCTTTCTATTTACATAATAAAGTTCAGAATCAGCTTATAAATTTGTATATAAAGTCCTGCTGGGAGTTTGATTAGGATTGCACCGAGATTCCATTCAGGAGAATGGACATCTTAACAGTAGTGACTCTTCTAATCTATGAACATGGTTTATCCATTTATTTAGATCTTAAATTTCTCTTAGCATTTTGTAGCATTTAGTGCAGAAGTCTGGCACTAAATTTGTTCAATTTATTTCTAAGGTTTTAATTTTGGGGGGTATTTTAAGTGTCATTTTTAAAAAACCATTTCTAATTTTTCATTGCTAATATGTAGAAATACAGTAGATTTTTGTATATTGACTTTAACACCTTGCCAAATTTACCTATTTGTTCTAGGGTTTTTTTTGGGATTCTGCAGACTTTTGTTAAATAATTACATCCTCGTGAATGAATAGTTTCATTCTCTTAATCTGTATGCCTTTATTTCTTTTTATTTTGTTATACTGACTTGGGATCTCCATATATTGAATAGTAATGATGAGAACAGACATTTTTCCTTGTACTAAGCCTTAAAGAAAAGTCGTTCAACATCAGTGACATTAGTTGTGTATTTTTCATAGTCCTCTATCAAGTTGAAGGAGTGATTTTTTTATGTTTAATATTTTGAGAAGTGTTTTTATAATTTGTTTTTTAAAATCATGAATGGGTTTTGAATGGTGTCACATGGCCTTTCATGTATCTGTAGACATGATTTGGAAGTTGTTTGTTTGCTTATAATGGAGGTACTGGGGATTGAACCCAGGACTTTGTACGTGCTAAGCATGCACTCTACTACTGGTCATACGATTTTTTTTCTGTTTTGTGGTGAAGTACATTAATTAATTTTTGTAATAATTCAGCTCATGTTGTGGTAAGCCACACTTATTCTTGGTATATACTATCCTGTTACATGTTGCTGGGTTCAATTTGCTAATCTGTTGATAGGAGATTAGTTTCTTTGTAGTTAAGTGGATAGTTGTCTAAAATTTTGTAATATTTTCACTAAATCTTGATTTTAGGATTATGCTGTTCTCAAAACTATTGGGAAGTATTCTTTCCTGATTTTTCTGAAAGAATTTGTATAAAATAGGCGTTATTTCTTTTGTAAATGTTTAATGGAGTTAGTGGAACTTATCATGACCTGGAATGTTCTTTATTGATTGTAGTTGACATATTTTGATAAATATATAGCTATTTTTGAGTCAACTTGGGTAGCTACATATTTCAAGAAACGTGTCCTTCTCATCTAGGTTGTTGGATTTGTTATAAAATTACCTATAATACTTTGTAATTGTCTTTTTAATTTCTGGAGGATCTGGTAGTGATAGTCTGTCTTTTATTCCTGATATTGGTCATTTGTGTTTTCTTTCCTTTTTTCTCTATTAGTCTTGCTTGGGGTTTATCAAATTTGTAAATTTATTAATCTTTTCAGACTACTGGCTTTTGATTATTCTCATATTCTTAGTCTAGTTTCTTTCCCATTGATTTTCCCTCTGTTATTTCCTTTTTTCTCCTTACTTTAGGTTGACTGGTTTTTTCAAGCTTCTGAATGTGGAAAAACTTTCTTTCTTTTCCTATAGCTTTTAATGGTATAGATTTCCCTCTAAGCACTGCTTTAGCTGCATCCTACAGCTTTTGATATGTTATGTTTTAACACTCATTTATTTTGAAATGTTTCTAATTTCTCTTGTAATTTTTTTTATTGACTCATTATTTAGAATGTTACGTAATTTCAAAAGTCAAAGGATTTTTAAAGATGTCTTATTTTTGCTGATTTCTAATGTAACATTGTGGTCAGAAAACATGACTTTACTCTAAAATCCATTGAGACTTATTTCATACATAGTGTGTAATCTGTCTTGGTGTGTGTTTCATGAACACTTATATTTGTTTGGTGTAGTGCTCTATAAATGTCAATATAGTTCAGGTTGTTTGATATTTTTCTTTACATCCTTACGTTGTGTCTTTGTATATTTGTTCTATCAATAACTGAGAGGAGTGTATAATCTTCAGTAATATTTCTGGGTTTGACTTAATCTTATCTTAGTTGCTGTTTGTTTTTTGGAAGCTCTCTTAATAGGTATACCCATTTAGTATTATTAGGACTTAGTGATAAATTCAGTCTTTTATCCCCATGAAGTGTTTCTATCTCTACTGATGGTTTGTCTTTAAGTCTACTCTGTCTGATATTACTAGAGCTGTACCAGCTTTCTAATTCTTTTTTTTAACATTTTTATTGATTCATAATCATTTTACAGTGTTGTGTCAAATTCCAGCGTTCAGTACCAGCTTTCTAATTCTTAACATTTTCATAGTATATATTTTCTACCCTTTACTTTAAACGTGTTCATACTTTTATATATAAAGTATGACTTGTCTACAGCATGTAGTGGAGTCATGCTTTAACCCAATCAGTATCTTTCTTTCACAATGACTATTTAGCCCATTTAATATTTCACAGGTTTGGATTTTAGACTGTTGTCTTATTAGTGTTCTGTTTTTCTTCTCTGTTCTTTGTTCCCTGTTCCTTCTTTCCTGACTTCTTTTTTGAGTTGAGTACTTTTTCATATTTTATTTCATCTTCTCTTACTGCCTTTTTAGCTATTCCTCTTTGTGTAATTTTTAATGTTGCTTGTTATGTGCATTTTAACTTGTCAGTTGACCTTAACAGGATATTGTATCACTTGATAAACCATGTAATAATTGTGTGCTGTTATCTGACCCTTCCACACTTATCATTGTGTAGCGCTTGTCATAACCCTCATGACACATCAGCTGCTTAAGTTAAAAAGGACTTTTTAAGGAGATTTAAAAAGACATAAAAAATAAAGATAATAAAAAGTTCTTTCTTTTTTACCCATATAGTTAGTTCTTCATTTCTTTCTGCAGTTCCTGATTTCCATCTGGTATTATGTTCCTTCAGCCTGAAGAACTTCCTTTAACTTTTTGTGTTACAATGAACAAGTTCTGTTGATTAATTGTCTCACCAGTTGTTTGTCTGAAAATACGTTTATTCACCTTTATTTGGGGGAAGATACTGTCCATAGGTACGGAAATTTCAGTGGATATAGAATTCTAGGTTTACATTTCGGCCAAAGAAATGATGGTATAATATTGTTTAAAGCTGTTAATGGTATTTTTTTCTGTATTACATTATTTCTAAAGAGAAATCATTGGTTTTTTCTAAGCATTGTTCTCTTTATAAAATATTTCTCTTCTTCCTGGCAGATTTTTCTTTTTTTTTTTTCTTTTTTTTAACGTTTGAGTTTTCAGCAATTTGACTATTAGGTCCTTCTGTATAGTTTTCTTTACATTTATTTTCCATGGAGTTTGCTTAGTTTGTTAGATCTGTGGGTTGATCTCTTTCATCAGTTTTTTTTTTAATTAATGCTCAGACATTATCTTTTCAAGTGTTTGTTCTGTTTCACTCTCTCTTCTAATTCTCCAATTAAATGTATGTTATAGTGCTCAGTATTAGAGGTCTCTGTTCGGTTTACTTCTTTTGTTTTCCTTTTGTGTGTTAGTTTGGTTAATTTTTGTTTGTTTAGTTGTAGGGGGTGTTGGATGATTCTTTTTGCTGTCTTCTAGTTCACTATTTTTCTTCTGCTGAACCCAGTCTGCTGTTAAAAATCATTAAATGAATTCTTCATTTCTGATAACTGCATTTTTTATTTCTGAAATTTTCACATTTTTATTAACTTTTTTTTAATAGTTTTAATTTTCTCTTCTGAAATTCCCCAACTGTCCACACATGTTATCTGCCTTTTGAACTAAATTCTTCTTATCATGGTTATTTTTAAATGCCTTTCTGCCAATTTCAACATTTGGGTCATTTGTTTATGTGGGTTTTCTACTATTTTTTTCACTTGATTATGGACCCAGTTTTTGTTTCTCTGTTTTTTATATCTGTAATTAGTTAAATGTATGCTGGACTTTGTGTATTTAAGAACAGTTGAGGTGGAAGTGAATCTTGGTTCCCTGTAGAAAGAGGCATGCCTCCTGCTCCTCAGGCCACGAGTGTGAAGAGACTGAGTCAAGTTCTTTTGTAGTTCGGCTGAATCTGGGCTTTGTTTGTTTTGTTTGTTTGACTTAGATTCTATTCTCCACTGTCTTCATAGGTTTTAAGCAGTGTTTGTGGAGACTGGAGCGATCTTTTATACATGTTGACCAGCCAGCAGCCCATTCCTAACTTCTTGTGCTTCAGGGCCATCTGTCCCCAGCCTGCTGCTCCGGCCCCAGCTTTGCAGAGCCCTGGGGGATCCTCTCTGGGTCTCTGTCTGTCCCATTCTTCAGCCTAGCCACATGTAGCTGTTAGAAGTTGGTTTGGAGTTGGGCTGGATTCTCCATCAGATCTGTGGCATTTGCTCTTCTCCCACCATAAGTCTCTTCTCTCCTAGGAAAGGCTTTTCATTTTCTAGAATTTAGTTAATTGTGGTTTCTTTAGTCCTCAGCTCTCTGATGGGTTTTTACAAAGCAGTGATTTTGTGGTTTGCCTGCCTGGCTTGTTCTTGATTTTTAGAGTAAGAGCAGTGGTCTCGCAAATTTCTATATTGTTCTTAGAAACAAAAATCCACCGATACTATTCTGAATAAATTCAGTAGTCTTAGGGATTTTAAAGAGTATATTGTTATTTGTTGAAAAATGAGCTTCCAAAAAATCTCAGTGCATGTTAAGACAATTTATTATTAAACATATTTTCTAAAAGGAGGCATAAATAATTTGCTTTTGATTTATCTGAATAGGAGCAGGGAGAGTTAGACCTGGGATTCTTTATTGGGAATGATCCCCACAGCTTTAATGAGCTGTGGTTACTGAGGAAGTACACCTGAGTTCACACAGGTGCATCGGGCAGAAAAGAGGTTCACCCCCCCCGGGCTGGGGCAGAGGTTGGCATGCTGCCTTTGCAAAGGACCCCGTTGTAAAGGTTTAGGCTTCGTGGGCTTTTGTTATGTATTATTGCTTGGCTTTGTTTTTCACAGTCTTTAAAAATGAAAAAAACGTTCATAGCTGAAGCTGTGTAAAAACAGAATCTGGGCTGGGATGTAGTTTGCTGATCCCTGGGCTAGATGATCTTTATAGTCATTTTTGGTCTCAAAATTACTTTGAATTTCTCTGAACTACAGTGCATTCAGAAAAGTAATGTGTGAAAATACAGAGGCTCTAACTATAAAGCATTCTTTTTAATAACAGCCTCAACATATCATACATGTAAACATATTTGATGTTATGTAGGCTTTCACATGTTCCATCAAATTTAAAGGAAGTCTTTTCATCTTTCTTTTTAGGAGTATAAACCACCAGGAACCCGTAAACTTCATAATATTCTTGGAGTAGAAACAGGAGGACCTGGTGGGCGTCGTGCTGGGGAATCGGGTCATACAGTAGCTGACTACTTGAAGTTCAAAGACCTCATTTTAAGGATGCTTGATTATGACCCCAAAACTCGGATTCAACCTTACTATGCCCTGCAGCACAGTTTTTTCAAGAAGACAGCTGACGAAGGTACAAACACGAGTAATAGCGTGTCCACGAGCCCCGCCATGGAGCAGTCGCAGTCTTCGGGCACCACCTCTAGTACGTCTTCAAGCTCAGGTCGGTTCTTTTGAGATTAATTCGACTTTGACATGTTTACCCTTTTCTTTACAAAGTAGGGGTTATTTTAAAGTGTTTTTAAGGTTTGTTAATGGGTAGGGAAGAACTATTTTTCCTAAATCTGTTCTTTGTGGCTAGTAAAAAAAAGTAGCCTCCCCCAGAGCTCCAACACTTAAGTTATATGTGTCAGTAAATGCTGCTTGGGAACAAAACCAACATTTTAAATTGTTTTTAAAATGGAAATACTTGGTCTACATGCTTGGGTTTTTCTGACATAACCAAACTTGGTTATATTTTAGTTCAGTAGTTGATGTGAAAGACCGCAGAGAATTGGATGCCTTTCTGGTATATTTTCGTGTTAATAGAAATTGTTTTTCTGACACAGTTCCAGTTTTAATGTTACAGTTGCAGGAGATATACTTGGACAGAATTAACTTTCAACTCACAAGGTGTGTTGTGCTGTGATACTTCAGGTGGATCGTCGGGGACGAGCAACAGTGGGAGAGCCAGGTCGGACCCAACGCACCAGCACCGGCACAGCGGCGGGCACTTCACCGCCGCCGTCCAGGCCATGGACTGCGAGACGCACAGTCCGCAGGTGAGCCCTGGCACCGCCCTATGCCCTGTGCCCTGCCGTGCCCGGGGAGCAGCACTGGGTGCCAGGTGTCTTCTGAATGATTGTGTCATTTACTCTGCAGGACCGTACCTTCCTCGTTTATAAGGCATTCTAATTTATTTATGACTGAAGAAGCACATCCTTGTTTAGAAATAGCTCACATTTATTGAGCACATACCAGCCATTGCTCCAAGTGTCTTTTCCCTGTGTTTATTCATTTACTGCGGCAGCATTTTGAGCCTCACACAGTGTGGATTTTCATGTTACGTTGGGAACTGAGACTTCATGGGCTAAGTAACTTCCTGAGGCTCATCTTAATTACTGCACTCTCTGCCTCCCGTGACCTTTGATCACGAACAGGCCTAGATTCTGAATCAGAATCTGATTCCGAATTGTGGTTTGATTCTCACCTCCATGTTGTTTTGTTTCGTTTTTTGTTTTGGAGGTTTTTTGTTTTTTAAATCTGTTGAAGAGGATCTAATTAAGTAAAATTTTTAAGGGGTGAAGCAGATGGTGGTAGTAAAAATATTCATTAAATACCGTTTGTAAAATAATAAGTTAATTCATGCTGAGTACTGCATAGTGCTGTTTTATAACAAGAGGCCAGTATATTATTTGATGAGTGAAATAAAACTGAAGTTGATGAACACCAGCCCCCGTCCCCGGTGCAGAAATCTGCGTGTGCAGCTGCCTCCTCCTCATGGTCACCAACCTTCCTGGGCAAGCTTTCCTGGTTCTCCAGCCATCGTCTCTCTCTCCCGTTCTCTTTAATAATTGTTTCAAACCCTTCTTCTCTTAGAAACCTTTGGTCTTGCCTTCTCTGTTCTCTCTCACTCGTCACTGTGTAAGGAACAGTCTTAGGAAAGGGACTCCTCACTGTGTGTCACCAGCCTCCGTTTGTCCCATCCATGTCTCTCCTTGTCTGCAGCTCCTGCTCGTCCCTGGATCTCCCGTTGGAAGCAAAACCTTTCCCTGGCCCATGTCTTTCTCGCCCCACATTTCTGCTTCCTGTGGGCTCTGTCTTGTCCCCCTTACCAACTCTTAAGCTCGCCCCAGCTGGGCTGCCTCCTGGCTCCGGGAGCTGCTCCTGCAGTGTCACCAGTGGTTGTCACGATGTGCCCAGAGGGCACACAGTCACTTCGGTCTGTTCCTCACTCACATTGACAATACTGGCTCGCCCCTGGTCTTCGAAGCACTCTCCTCCGTCTTACTTGTCCCTTGTCCCACCCCGCCCCCACTGTCTCCTTTCTGGATTCTCCTCCTCCTCCCACCCTGTGCCCCTCTCCCTCACCTGACACACTTCCTGGTCACCTCACAGCTGTAACCAGTGACGTAGCTACCATCTTGAGGTACATCACTTACATCTTTATTTCTGCCCTACGTGTCACTCCTGAGCCTCATGCCTTTATTTCTAATCATTTACTGTCAGTATCGCTTTGAAAGGCTCCACAGCACGACACTCCAGATGCGGCCCGTGAACTCCTGCCGTCATTTCCAGTCCACCGCCGCCCTCCTGCCCTTACCTGTTCTTGGTGCAGATGGCCCTGAACTCACCCTTTTGCTCAGGTCGTACACCCGGCGCCTGGGGAGTTGATCCGGACTCCTCTCTCCCTCAC